AGTAATATTTCATTGTGTATATATATCACCATTTCTTTATCCATTCATCTATTGAAGGGCCTCTAGTTTGGTTACACAGTTTAGCTATTGTGAATTGAGCTTCAATAAACATTGATGTGGCTGTGTCCCTGTAGTATGCTGATTTTAAGAACTTGGGTATAGACTGAGGAGTGGGATAGCTAGGTCAAATGATGCTTTCTTTCCAAATTTTCTGAGGAATCTCTATATTGCATTCCAGAGTGGTTGTACCAATTTGCAGTCCCACCAGCTATGTATGAGTGTGCATTTTCCCCCCTCATCCTTGCTAATATTGGGGGCTTTTTTAGAGGAAGAATTTTTAAATAAAATCTAAATCCCATTGATCATTTTTATTATTGATTTTTTTTAAAAAAATGACAGTGGAATGCTTTACAATTCTTATTACACATATATACCACAATTTTTCATATCTCTGGTTGTATATAAAGTATGTTGATACCCAGTTCGTGTCTTCATACATACAATTTGGATAATGATTATATCACATTCCACCATCCTTGCTAATCCCCTGCCCCCTCCCTTTCCCTCCCAACACTCTGCCCTATCTAGAATTCATCTATTCCTCCCATGCTCCCCCTCCCTACCCCACTATGAGTCAGCCTCCTTATATCAGAGAAGACATTCGGTATTTGTTTTTTGGGGATTGGCTAACTTTACTTAGCATTATCTTCTCCATCGCCATCCATTTACCTGCAAATGCCATGATTTTATTCTCTTTTACTGCTGAGTAATTCATTATGTATACATACCACATTTTTTTTTATTCATTCATCCACTGAAGGGCATCTAGTTTGGTTCCACAGTTTAGCTATTGTGAATTGTGCTGCTATAAACATTGATGTGGCTGTGTCCCTGTAGTATGCTGTTTTTAAGTCTTTTTGGTATAGTCTGAGGATAGGGATACCTGGGTCAAATGGTGGTTCCATTCCCAGATTTCCAAGGAATCTCCATACTGCTTTCCATATTGGCTGCACCAATTAGTAGTCTCACCAACAGTGTATGAGTGTGCCTTTTTCCCAACATCCTCGCCAACACTTATTGTTGTCTTCATAATGGCTGCCATTCTGACTGGAGTGAGATGATATCTTAGAGTAGTTTTGATTTGAATTTCTCTAGTTGCTAGAATTAAAACCAAGAATCAATAAATGGGATGGAAATGAACTGAAAAGTTCCTTCTCAGCAAAAGAAACAATCTATGAGGTGAACAGAGAGCCTACATCCTGGGAGCAAATTTTTACCCCCATATCTCAGATAGAGCACTAATCTCTAGGGTATACAAAGAACTCAAAAAGCTAAGCACCCAAAAAATCAAATAACCCAATCAAAAAATGGGCCAAGGACCTGAATAAACTCTTCTCAGAAGACGATATACAATCAATCAACAAATATATGAAAAAATGCTCAGTTTCTCCTTTTTTATCCAACTAATTCATTCAGTCTAAAGTTTGACTTTCTAACTATAAAGAAAATTTTTCTACCATGTAAGTTCTTGGATCCTGTAAATTCCACCTAAGGACTCCTTCATGGGGGTCTATGAACCCAGATTAAGAGATCCTGCACAAGAAAAATGAAATATCCTATAGGAAAATTATATCTTAATTTGCACTAACCTCAAGTTGAAATTTTTCATTTCATTCTGTTATAAATATATAACACAAATCATAGTAACATTAACACTCTTGTAACTATCACCACTAAAATTCATAGATATTTTCATATCACTTAACATTTTTTGCCCTTCTTTGGAACATGGAGGTTGGAGTATATAAGCCATGGTCCCACCAATCTCCTTTCCTACTCAGGCCCCTTCCTCACATGGGATAATTTAAATACAGCGTAAGTCTCTTTCAGCCTTCTGCTACATTACCCAAAGTTTTCTGTGTGCTGTATGATTCTATTTAGGGATTGACATGTTGATACAATTTTATCAGCACTCTCATTAAAATATATGGGAAAAACAAGACCTAGGAAATTTGTTCAAGGTCTCAGGGCTGATAACACATAAACCCTACTCAAGTCTTGATACTCACCCTGTGAGTTTTCCCCCACACAATATTGATATGAAATATCTCTAAATTTTAGTGGTGATAGCTACAAGTGTGTTATTGCTACTATATAACAGAATATATATATTCTGTTATATATTTATAACAGAATGAAATGATAATTTTCAATTTGAGGTTAGTGCAAATCAAGATATAATTTTCCTGTAGGATATTTCATTTTTCTTGTGCGGGATCTCTTACTCCGGGGTTCATAGACCCCCATGAAGGAGTCCTTAGGTGGAATTTACAGAATCCAAGAACTTACATGACAGAAAAATTTTCTGAAACAGAGTTTGACTTCTAAGTGAAAACTACTACAAAGTGGCATTTTCACCCAGAAATTACATTTTAAGCATGATGACATTAACTTAACCACGTATCTGGAGATGAGAACTTTTGCTGCCTGTTTGCATAAAAGCCTAAAATTCTGAGTTTCCAAATAATAAGATGTCATTCACTTGGGCTCATAGTAAATTAAATTTATAATAAGTACTGAATTAAGCTTACATGATCAATTCTATACTAGCTTCCCTGTGTCTGAGGGAACTGGAAGAAATCCATCAGGATGGAATATGAAAATTAACATAAATTTGCTATCACCTAACACTCAGTTCTACCAAATGACCAATTTGGTAGAACTTGAAAACTACATATGTTTACAGAGACAAGTAAAATGCACATTTTTCCAGTTTCCTCTAAAAAGAACAAGGTTTATTATTGCTGTTCTGATACCTTTAATGTTGAAAGAAGATTCTGTCATACCAGTGACCCAACCAGCAACTTCAAGTCCACATCATCAACACCAAAACATGCTCATAATTTGTAAAAGCAAATGGATCTGAGCAGTCAGCATTTGGACATGTTGCAAATATTAATACGTCCAGCCTTATTGATCATCATGAAGGTCTGTAAAGAAGAAAAAATGTATTCTATTTTTAAAAGTGGGGCTGGATTAAGTTTTTGTTAGAGAAATCCCATTTTTCTATAGATGTTTTTTATTGACTCAGTGATGTGTTTTGCAGGGAGAAAGCCCAGGTGTACATATTAGAAAACATAGCTGGGGAGAGGTCCACAGATGTAGACAGACCCAGAGCCCTGCTGCAGGATCACAGGCTAATGATGCATTTAAGGTCTTTGAAGCACCTGGTTTCAGTCGAAACTTGCCAGGCTGGGTTTTATTCCCCCAGTTAGGCTTCCTGCTGCTCCACCATCCCTATCAAAGCTCTAAGGTTTGCAGCCAACTCTGGTGACCCAGAACTCCAAGTTCCCTGCTTCCAGCACACTGCTTTCCTCCAGCTGAGTCGGGTTTATAATCTACTGCTGCTTACCAATTTGTCCCACTCGGGGATCTTCTAAAGAGGCCTCTGGCTACAGTACAGAAGAAAGAAATGGTGGGAAGTATTACTGAGCACCTACTGTATAACTGGCACTGGCTCAAAACTCATACTGCTTCTCTCTTCTAATATTCACAGTAGTAGCAGGTAAATATTAATTGGGTGTGCTCTAGATAAAGAGCTGAACACTCAGGTAAGTTGTGTAATTTCCCAAATCTCATGGGGATACTATGGCAAAACTGGATCAAGGTCCATATGCTTCTGAAGACCATGCTTTGTTTATTCCCTCTCATAGTTACTTGAATGCCAGCATCCAAAACAATGGACAATCCACATAGAATTCAAGGTCTCCACCTACAGTGAATGTCGGCAAATGTGTACTTGTTAGAAACTAAATCTTACCAACTGGGGTTGGAATGATTTACAATGTGAGGGTAAAGAAACTTTCTGACTGGAACTTTAAAGGATGTCAAGGGTTCATGGAGAAGAAATTTTAAAGAAAAACTTTATAAACATCAGAGCCCATAAAACTATTCTCATTTTTCCATTAAGGAATATAGAATCACATATTTTGAAACATGATTTGAGTCAATCTCACACATTTCAGTTATAGGCAAGATAGATTCACCTATTTAGACTGTTTGACCCCTTGGTTGACAGTGGAAGATTGGAGCAGGAGGGAATTATCCAAATTCTGCTGTATTGTATCATAGCTTTGCATCTTGCCCTAATACTCCCCACTATTGCTGGCTGCTTTGACCTGGACACCAGAGCAACACTGTCCACAGGCTGCATGCATGAATATGTCCACTGTGTCATCCTTGAAGCAAAGGAGGACACAAAATACCATGCTTCTCAGAGGTCCCACTAAGCCTCTCTCAGGCTCCTCTCCACACCAAGGGAATAAGAAGAGGGCCTGGTCCAGAGTGACTACGTAAAGGATTCCTTGAAGGTCTCAACTTTCTCTCATGCACACTGGCAATAGGGAAAGCTAATGGAATCTGCAGAAAGTCGCTTTTAGTACATAGCCCTCTAACAGGTGGTCCTTGAGATCCTGGTCATGCAAGCAAACTAAAGAAGCTAATGCTGCTGATGTTGCTACTTCTGCAATCTGACATATAAATCCCTCCCTCTCTCAGTGGCTACTGGCACAGAACTGAGGGCACTGTAGAAAGAACACGCGTCACTAATCCAGCTGGCTGCCACTGGACAAAATGCCATGAGGGAGAGGAGACACTGCTTGGCCAAGTACTATGAGGGCCAAAATGCTATCTGCTCTGCCTATCACCACTGGACCATCCTCACAAGCATTTTTAAATAAAGCCTTCTGCCTTGAATGTCATCTCCAGATATTTTGTCTCTTGTCAACCTATCCCACTGTCCCTGAACAACTGAGCTCTGGACCTGATATCCACTTGAATGAGGAATTTATTTTTATTGGTTTATGTGTTATACTTACCTGGGAAAGAATATTCTATACCAAATACAAGTTCTAAAAACAAGATGATTTTTAAGTAAAAGTGCAGAGACTTATGACTAAAGAGGTAGTGCAAATAATTTTATTATGATCCAAAATTAAATTTTAAAAGGGAAAAAAATTAAAATCCAGTCTACCAAGTCACTCGTATTTAGGGAATAATGTCTACCCTCTGGCCATTCTGAAAGTGAACTGGACACTTTTCTAGCCACCCAAGCTCCTCCTTGCCTCATTCTATGCATTAGGAATTCTGCAAATGATTGTTCATGGTTCACAGGGGGTTGGATCACAGAAAACTAGTTGTTGATCTTTGGATGCCTGCAGGCCTGCAATCTGTGCTACAAGTTTATCCCTCCTAGGGAAAAATAATAATAATAATAGAAAAAGGGGAGGGGGCGAGGAAAGAAGGAGAAGACAAGAGGATGGAACCTGTACAAGCATCTGTAACAAGCTAATTGGACCCTTGTGGGCCACCCAGCAAGCACAAAATTAAAACAAACAGAGCTTCCCATCCTGCACTTTCAGGACCACAGCCACACCGGGTCTATCAGCTTTTCCCCTGCCTCCTCCCTTGACCTTCATTTGTAAAGAGCTTAATTATGGGTCTTGCTGAAGGATCACAAGCCAGTTTTTATCTAAAAAGAATAAGCTATTTTGCCTCCAAACTAGAGACACTGATAGAAGTTGGTAATTAGTATGACTTGTTAATGGAGTTTGGCTGTGATTAAGCAGTGATTGAGTGTGAGTTTGGTGCCTGTCAGTGGGTAAGCCTGGGAGGGTGAGAGATGTTTAATGAGACACCTGTTGTTGGGGCCCCGCTGGGGTTTGCTACAGCTGATTGGCACTTGGATGCAGTGTGCTCTGTGACGGGGGCTGGGCTTAGCTTGGCAGGTGGCTGGCATCACAGAGAGCCCACAGCTCCCTCTTAGTCAGTGATGGCTGTATTTCCCCGGCTGCCTGTCCATGACTGCAGCCGCATGTTCCCATATGATCTGGACTGACTATTGTCCTGTCTACTTCCCTTTAGGCTCTGCACCCACCCTGTGGGAGAAAGACCTCCAAGGCCCCTGATCCGTACCAAGCCCCAGGCTCTCTTCCCCTCATCCATCCCCTATGGACAGGAGAGGAAACTGAAGTCAGGTAAGTCAAATAGTATGTCCAAGTTCACACAGCTGACTCCAGGCTCGAATGGACAGCACCCCTCATGCTCAAGGACAGCACCCCTCAAACTTTAGAAAGGGTCTTTGGGAGCATGATGAAGTTCAGGGTCCAGCGAGTAGTTCTGCAGTAGAGCCTAAGACATAGCTTCATCAGGGTTTCCACATGACACTCACGCTGCAAGGCCAAGGACCATACCTGAAACACAAAGTATACGGGAGACTTTCTTGTATTTGAATCAAACAGAAACCCTCAAGAAAAGTAGCTACAGTGGATTTCAATTTTATGTTTAAGACTATATCATGCTTTTTAGAGAAGACAGAAAGGCAATGTATATTCTTTGCCTTAAAAAAAATGGAGCCTGTTGCAAAAGATGTTCTGGAACTCTCTATCTAAGCATGTGATAGAAGAATGCTGGTAGAAGCAGCACAAAAATAGAGGGGAAACCTGGAAATTTACAGAAGTCCCACACTCTGCAAACTGGCAGAAGATTTCCAGAAGGAGAAACAAACAAACAAATAAATAGGAGTTTGGTCTCAGGATGCTGCTCTGTCACAGTGCTAAGGATGCAGCTTCAACCAGCCACCCTCAGGCCCGACCTTGCTCCCACCTGTCCAAATCCATCTAACAAACCCCACCCTGTCCAGGTCAGGGACAGACCCTAGGAGAAAACAGCCTTTTGTTCTTTTGGACTAAGTGTTGAATCAAAATACAGGCTGGAAGCCCACAAAGGGACCATGGCCACCTGGGCCAAGTCAGGTTCAGGGGGAAGGGTCAGGCCTCCAGCCTGACCTTAAATATGACTCTGCTTATAATTCATGTCCTATTTCTCCCAATACTCAAATGAAGCTTTTCTGAGCATAAAAGAAAATAAATTCATGACATCCATAAAAGTTTAGGACTAACTTAAGATAAACTTTATAGAACACAAAAATACCTGAAGAACAGAACAATATCAGATGTCTTCAGAACCCAACATTAATATGAAAAACAGATAAAATGATTTGGATATTTCATAATTTTTTAAATGCTATATCTTAAATTCCATAGATTATTGATTTTTTTTCCTGAGTTTTCCAGAAAACCATCTCATTTTTGGCTTCACTGACTAGAAGAAATTGGAACTGAAAGGCTTATGTCAAAGTATATTTTCCTTAAATTCAATGATCAGTCTATTCATTTATTTTTCCATAGAAATAAAATATTTACCTGATGTGGGTAATTTCATTTTGAATATGTAAAATATTGTCATAATTAACCATGTTTATACCTAATAACAGACAAAACTCAATGTGTGAGTTGTTTAAATATTTTTATATGTAGTCACTTTCTTTACATCTCATCCCATTGTAGAATAAAGTGTCTTTGGGACTATTCACATCACATGTGACATTTATAATAGAAACTATGCCCTTAGACTTCTAGAAGGATATAGAAGTTTCAGACTGGTCTCTCAATAGAGATTCAGAATATATATTTTGCATGTGAACATGGGGGATAAGGGATAGTCACATGCCAGAAGTTTACAGGAAATGTAGTTATGGCTTATGGGAAATTTTTTTAACTGTTAAAATTTTCAAGTCCCAAAAGGTGCTACATCTCAAGGATTCATATGAGAGAGGAATGTGCAAGATGCTCTATGGAAGAGTGAATAAACAGCAGATCTGCAAACAGATGGATTTGGGGGGAGAAGCCTGGTTCTGCCAACTCATGGCTGTGTAGCCTGGGACCAGTGGCATAACTTCTTTGGGCCTCAGTTTCTCCATGAGTAAGTTAGAAGCAATAACATCATTGAAAACAAGGGAAAACCTAAATAACCCTCTAGCTTTACTTGATTTTAGTGGCCTACTTTTGGTTGACTTTCTTTAAATCACTAATTTTGGAGGTCACACAACAAGGCAATACATTATTAGTCTCTCACAAACTTTGCTATAGGTAAACCCTCTGTCATGATGTAACAGTTGCCTAGGTTATTTCACTTGAAGACTACTTTTGTAGAAATCATTGACTCTTCCTTCAGTTGAGCCTCTGTGACTTCTGGTAGGGGTCAACTTGACATTAGGAGACCACTCTCTGATCATGATGACATCAACACTTTATGAACATGCAACCCATGAAGAGCCACAAAATTGATTATATATATATATATATATATATATATATATATATATATAATGATCATTTATTGGTTCTCTTCCAATCATCCTTTGCCTTGCTTTTTTAAATCCCCTCAAAAATCCTCAAACCCTATCCTGGGGAGGGAGATCTGAGAGTTAGGTCTCCCACCTTCATACTTGCTATCTTGTTTGCAAATCTTGTTGTTTCATTGATTGGCATACTGTGTGGCAGGCAAACCAAGCCTGGTCCATTAATGTTATCTTGTTCTGATCAGTGGATATAAGGTATGGAAAGTTCCTGTGGTATGTCAGACACCTGATGAAAACCAAAGTGGGTTTAACTTGCTCATTGTGTAGACAGAAACATTTCCCACACAGTGCAACCTATTAACCTGTTAAATGTCCCCACGACAGAAGCAGCTTGGGGCATATCTGTTTAGCCACTTTATACCACACAGGTAGACTTAACAAAAGCACATCTAGGTGGCCGCACCTCCCACCTGGACTATTGTCATAGACTTCCAACTAACAGTCGCCTTGATTGGACTCTTGGATACCTCTACCACAACTGTCTATCATCTACATGGAAATCAAAGTGAGCCTTTTAAAATGTAGTCAGATAAAGTCACTCTGTCTTATATTGTACAGAGTGAGAACCAAAAGTCCTGCCTGGTCCAGTCACTCATTGCCCCACTAACCACATTATTTCACTCACCTGTCGGCCACCATGAGTGATGCTTTGGTCCCCAACATAACCCATTATTCCCTAGCTATGTTGCCCTTGCCATTTTCCTAACTTAGAATGATCTTTCCTCAGCACTCAGCTCATCATCCCATCAGTTCTCTGTTCCAATGAGGGCCATGTGCAGACAATCCTACATAAGTTTGCAATCCTCCTACACTTCCCTTACCTTGCTTTGTATTCTCCTTAGCACTCATCAGCTCTAATGCATATTTAGTTGTTCCTAAGCATTAATATCTTTCTCCCTGTGACAAGGGTAAGGGTTTTGTTTTGTTTCTTACTGAATCCCTGACAATTTAAAAACTGGCAGCTACATGGATAAATGAATAGCAAACAGTGGGCTTTGTGTGACTATTGGTTGAATGACTGAATGGAATCAGTTCTAATAAAGCCTCTCTATAAAGCAAAAATCAACCTCCTAAAGGGAAGGGCATTTATTACTATGGAATGTCCCAGTGAGAAAGTATCAAAATGACTCAAACAGAGGAGAAAAATTGAAATCTGGAGAAGAAAATGATCAGGAGCAAGAAGAACTTGAACCCAGAGCCCTTTTCTTATCCTTGTTGCCCCTCCTATCAGTCCTGATGCCCCCAAAAGACTGTGGCAGAAAGTCAGGGTCCCAAACGTAGTGGGCATGTGACTGTCTGAAGCCCATTTTGGTGAATGTCACAGATTTCCTTACGCATACCATAAGGAAGAGGCAATGGCTCCTTTGCCCTATACAAGAAGAATAAAAGTCAATGACCCTGGAGCAATTCCCAGCTTTAAAAAGCCTGGAAGAAAAAGCCACCATGTGCTGACTGCCTGCTGTTCTTTGGGCACTGCTCAGTGGAGCTTTCTCTCTGACTTTGGTATGCAATGGTCACTCATTCTCTTGAGACCCTCAACCAGTAGCCTAACATTCAGCACATGCAGGATGTGTCTGTTTACTCCCACCCCAACCCCACCCAGAATAGTTACAGGTCAAAAGGGTGCAGAATCCAGAGCATCTAGACTAGATGTTGCACAGAACTTAATCTAAAAGAAGAAAAGTCTTCCTCCTTCCCCACCAGTAAGAAGCCTCCACCAATGGCAGAATGCGTGCAAACACAGGCCTCCTTGGGAATCCATGGAGTTTATTCCCAGAATGAACTTGGAGTCAAGATGGATAAAGCTTGAAAACAGAGTTGAGATGCAAAAAGGAAGTTTCTGCTATAAGCAGATGGGGTTAAGAACTGCCAGAGGCATCCAGAAAAGGGTCAATAGAGTGTGAGCAATGCAAGGGAAGAGCCAGGCAGATGAGCCCCCACCAGAGACAATGCTATATGTAGACTCACAGCTGTGACCTGAAAAGCCTGTCAGGTCATTTCAAGTGACTAAATGCTCAGTGCCTGCCATAATACTTACACTAACAAAATCATAATACATTGCATTTTCTAGTCTACATTCCAGAGTTGGGGTTTGGCCATTCTTAACTTATCTTTTCTTCTTCCAAAAGTTCCAAGTTAAAAAAAAAAATCCTTTAAGCTATCATTTTCAAAAGTTATACATATCACAGATTTCCTTACAGTGAGTGTCCCAGACAAACCAGAGTGTGTGGCAACTATTATGGGCTGAATTGTGTCCTTCACAGATTTCCTTACTACTGAGTGATGGCTATTTACTGTCTACATAATCAAGAACCCAGTTCACTCCCTGAAATTGATAGAACCAGGAACTTTCAGGATATAGGCTTAAAAATGTCTACAAATATATCTATCAAGGAGTAAACACATTGCATTACAGTACAGTGCACTTTGCTAAGCATCATTTATGTCACCTAATTTAATCCAGAGTGGTAGGTATGATTCTCTGCATTTTTGTAGATGAAAAAAGTTGGGGAAAATAGGAAGCCATGTTAATCTGTTAGGGCCACTAAAACAAAATATCTAGATTGGGTGGCTTAATAAAAAGAGATTTATTTCTCACAGCTCAGGAGACTGGAAGTCCAAGTTCAAGGCATTAGATGTATGAGGTCTGTCTCCTTAGCTTGCATATAGCTGTCTTCTCATTGTCTCCTCAGTGCTCATATCTCTGTGCACATATATCTCTGATGTCTCTGTGTGTGTCCAAAGTTCTCTTACAAGGGAACCAGTTAGGCAGGATTAGAGCCCACCTTAACAGCTTTATTTCAACTTAATCCTGTCTAATGCATGCATAGGCTGAGGGACTAGGAGCAGGACTACACCATATTTGCAATAAATTTGGATGTTGAAGGACACAATTCAGCCCATAATAGTTGCCACACACTCTGGTTTGTCTGGGACACTCAGTTGAAGTTCATTGTCCCAATGTAATTATTAGATGTACTCTTTCTCCAT